ACTATTGGTGGCCCAATAGCCATGACAGCTGTGCTCTGTCTCCAGTGCTTCTGAATTACATTTGCTGGAAATCGCAGGAGGGGAAGAGTTGCTCTTGTGCTTGAATCCTGCTTGCAGGTTTCCTGTAATGGGCATCTGGCTGGCCACTGTGAGAACAGGATGCTGGACTAGATAGATTCACCTGGACATTGACTGTGAAAGCAGAAACTTTTATGCCGGGGCAGTCTAGCTCAATGCCAGGACTGGTTCAGCTGCATGTCAGCACAGAGACTCAAGAGACAAGCAGTAAAATTGATTCTTCATTCAAGGAAACAGAATACAAACAGAGAAACATACAGCGAGACTGGCCCAAGTAAAGCAGTTGCCAGAACTGACAATCTGGTCCTCCCTCTTTCCTCTTAAGTCTCCTCCACGTCCAGCTGTTTTCCCTGCAGTCTTAAATTCCACCAGGGAGTGCCCCCTCCCGCCCCAGCAACCTCATTGTTCTGCTATATGTAAAGGTCCTTAGCTACAGTGTTTGTGCACCTGGCTATCAGCTACTTGAGACCAAGTGAAGATGCCTGGGTGCTAGGATGGCACCTGACCGTCTCCACCATCTGGAGATGCATGCCTGGGGATCCTTGGATCTTGACTGTTTTCACATACTAGCAATGCATCCTGTAGAAGTATATCCATTATATTTTATCTGCGCAATCAGAGTGAATTTCAGGAACCAAAAAGTCGTATTGAAAAATACGACTTTTGAGCCATCTGGCCCTAGAATGGCAACTAGGCATTCTGTTTTGGCGACCGTAACCCTGGTTAAAGGAGCCATTTGACGCCTAGCTTATATATCTGAGTTTCTAGCACTGAACAAGTGGGGTGGGGAGTTGTATACAATAGAACCAGCAGGCTCATATGAATCTGTTGCAACCTCAGCTCCCACCTCCCCTTTAGCTGTCTGACATACAACTGTAGTGTTTTCTTCCTCTTCCTCCTCTCTCTCACTCAAGCCTGTTGCTTGTTCAACACCCAACCATTCTGCCCTGACTTCATCCTCTGACCTGTCTTCCATATCCCAGCACCCCTTCCCTGACTCTGAGCCCTCTTCTTCTGAGACTTCCCTAAGGGATTCTCCAGCTGGAACCTCCCACCATTCCTTATGGTCATGCCAGTTCCTGATACTCATTGCGCCAGATGGTGGGGCACACAACTGGAGAGTGCATTTGTGCTCAGGTTCTGATTGTGGGATTTCCATTTGGGGCATCTTATCGGCCAGTGTGAGAACTAGACAAGCCCCCTTTTGCTTGATCCAGCAGTTCTTCTTCTTATGCAGTCAGGTGGTATAATTGGAGGCTGATGCAAATTGCTGAAATGTTACCTGGAGGTGCCTGGGGAAGGGAAGACAGAGAGGAGATCTATTATCCACCTTCAAATATCTGAAGGGCTATCACAGAGAAGATGGAACATGCTTGTTTTCTACTGTTCTGGAGGGTAGGACTTAAACCAATGAATTCAAATGGCAAGAACTAAACATTAGGAAGAACCTCCTGATAGTAAGAGCCATTTATCCATGGAATGGACTCCCTCAGAAGATTTGTGGGCTCTCCTTCCTTGGAGGTTTTTAAACAGGTCAGATGGCTGTCTGTCAGAGATTCTTCAGTGTGATTCCTGTATTGCAGGTGATTAGATGAGAGGGCCCTGTTAATCCCTTCAAACCCTGCAATTCTGTGATTCCTGTATTGCATGGGATTGGCTTAGATGACCCTTGGGGTCTCTTCAAACAATGCAATTCCATGTTTCTATGAGATCTTGCCCAATGGATCTTCCCAGTGGATTTTCCTTATGCATGGCCATCCAGACCTACCAGTGCCAGCTTGTTCATGTGAATGAGCGGTCCACCAGAAGAGAAACTCCTTTCTAAGTGGGACACACACACACACACACACACCCCGTTGACTTGAGGACCTGCATTGGGAATTCACTGACCATGATATTGGTGTTGGGGTGAGTGAGCAGGGTATCTTGAAGAACTCTTGCACCCAAATTTGACTGCTTTTATTCTTGTGAACTCAGCCCTACTATCAATTTCCTATGAGGCTGAGCACCCTTGGCCATGCCACAGCAAAGCATGTGAGAGGAAATAGCCTGTGGGTCTTTGAATAAGTGTATCCTTCCTTCATTGGAAGTTAGGAAAACAAAGCTTGTGGGCCAAAAAAGGGGGTTGTGTTTTTTGTGTTTTTTTTTTTTGTTTTTGTCCCCCAGAATCTCCATCTGAAAGGTTTTTGCTGAGTGCTAGACCAGAAAACAGCAGTGAAAGATAAAGGAGTGATAGCTGTGTCTTAATGTAGCCTTTGAAATATGAGGAAGTGCCTAAATGCAGAATATCATACAGCTGGCTGAATTACATAGACACATAGATTCATTTGTATGCCATCTTTCCACTGTTCAACCCATGCTGAAGGCAACTTACAACATGAAAAAATACATATGTTGTTGCCATCCATCTGTCTCGGGCGACAATGGAGTGCGCCACCAGCGGTGAAGTCAAATCGCTGTGTTAGCAGTACCCAAGTAACCTCTCTGGGGCACAAGCCTGGGCAATGTGTATGGAGGTCCCGAGCTGTCCTGATGTGGTCCAAAGGAAAACAGAGGAATATGTCTGCCACCAACTTGGCTGCAGGAGTTGCCTGAAGGAGGCTAACAAGGCAGCACCTAACTGTCTTAGGGACTCCACACTGGATTTGTGTAGGGTTTACTCCTTAGCATTTTATTCCTCCAAAGATGTCCTGCAAGGCAGCAAAGGTTTAGGATTGGAGTTTTCCTTCTCCTAGATGGGCTACCTTCCCAGGCTGACAAGCCCCATCTGGCCCTATCTTCCCTTTACAGCACATGCAGAAACTGCCTTCTTGACCTTTGGACCGATTATTGGTCTCATCCGCTCAATCCTCCAGAGCCTGTCTTTGCACACAAGGGAAATCCCTAACTTACTGGGGGTTTGAGACCCATTAGCTACCCTCACCTGGTTTAGCTAGCCAGTTGGAGCTGTTTCCCAGTGTGTGGCCACTGTCATATGCTGACAGCTTCTAGGAGCCACAGGTGAGAGCTGAGTGCAGGGTGGGACCCCAAGGTGGACAAACTACCCCAGAAGGAGCATGTGTCCTCCGCCAGTGGTATTACCCCTCCCTAACATACCATACATAAATACAACATAGCAAAAGTAGTCTTAAACAATAAATAGAACATTTAAAAATACACAACAAACTGTACAATGTCCACATGAATCACAACAAGATCTAAGATAAAGATACAGACAGAAAGAAAGAAAGAAAGAAAGAAAGAAAGAAAGAAAGAAAGAAAGAAAGAAAGCAGCAACAAGCCCCCCTGCTGCCACCCAAAACAGAACCCTCTAAACAACACCCCAGCCCAAAGTTATGTTCAGCAGCCTCAGCTTTAGTAGCTGGAATGAGTCAAAGCTCCATCCTCCCAGGCCAGGTGGGAAAGGCTTGCAAAAAAGGGAGTGGGTCTCCCAGGACTCATAGCCAATATGGTCTTGGGGAACTGCCAGTTCTGTGGAATCATGATTGTAAAGGGACACCAAGGGTCATCTACTCTGACCCTTTGTAATGCAGGAATCATAACTAAAAAAAAGCCCTGGCAGATAACCATCCAACCTCTGCTGGAAACCTTCAAGCAAGGAGAGTCCACCACCTTCCGAGGGAGAACATGCCACTATCAAAACTTGCCACCAGAAAGTCCTTCCTAACATTTAGCAGGAATCTGCTTTCATAGAATCATAGAGTTAGAATGAACCCCAGTGGTCATCTAGTCCAATCTAAACAAGAACCAACATGCCAGGTTTTCGCCCAGCGACTTATTTACAATAGGAAGAGCTTCTCCCCTGGCGCCGGGTGTCTGGAAAATTGGAAAACTATCCTTCTCCTTTTGCGAAGGAGGTCAGGGGGGCTCCTTTAATGCCAGGTAATTAAAGCCACCTTTCCCTGGAAGGCGATGTCAAGCTGTTTCACAAGACGCTTCACTAAAAGCTTCATTTACTAGAATGACTTTTGCCAAAGGGGAAATCAGAGCCGGCTCTTAACTGATGGGGGGCGGGGAGAGATGGGGACGGTGCCCCCTTTCTCTTTCACACAACAGAAGGCATCAGCCACCCTCAGAGGTCTTTATTTGGCTTGAAAACCAGGAACCTTCCAGAGTGTGATCCTTAATAGATGATACACACAGTATGTCCACAGGATGGATAGATGTCTGCATGCATGCACCAAAATCTCATCATTCATTCCTACTTGGGCTGGGGAAGAGACTGAGAGGTGACGTGACAGCCATCTTCAAATACCTGAAGGGCTGTCACAGGGACGATGTTACAACAGTAGTTGAAAATTAAGAGATGAAAAGCAAAACTATAAAACTGAGTCCAGTTGCACGTGGGTGAAAATATGAAACTGCAAGTAAAGAATATCAGTGTTGCCTGATTATTCCAGATTTGACAGGCTGGTGAGGAGGCTTATCTTCAAAACTATGCTTCCACTGGGTACATAATAAAGTAATGCCAAATCCTGTAAAAAAGCATCTGGAGGTTCTCTAACCCTTGTCGAAATCTCAAGTTGTGTCATTTTCTCAATTCTAGCTCTGTTCCAGAGTGAGTGGTACCAAGTGCCCAGTGTAAGATTTGGGGCTGTCTTCCATTGAGATCCAATGAGCTGCTAAGACGACTTATAAGACCAGCTCTTTCAACAGTACATCAACACTGGTATCATCAAAAGGACTTAGTCACATTAATAGCATTCTAGGATTCATTGGCGGTTTTTAAGGCCCTTTGTCATGGACTCTTCAGCTGTGATTCCCGCATTGTAGGGATTGGATTTGATGACCTTTGGGGATCCCTTCCAACTCCAGCATTCTGTCATTCTGTCTCCCCATGGTTCCTTTAGGTGGGCATTGATGTTAGTAGATGCGATACGTAATTTCAAGTGACTAAAATATCTCTTCTTGTTCTTTTGCAGGTGCAAGCCCACCAAAAAAGAAAAAAGGTAAGCAGAAATTCAGACCTCTTCTGTCCTGTGTCAGTGCTTTGGGCCATTCACTGCCTCTCAGGCTAACCTACCTTACAGGGTTGTTGTAGGGATTAAATGAGGACTAGGAGCTGGGAGACCAGGCTTAGAATCCCCAACTCAGCTTTGAAGCTCCATGGGTGAGCTTGGGCTGGTTGTTGCCTCTCAGCCTGGCCTACCTCACTGTCTTGTGGAGATTAATGGGAAGGGGGAGACAAGCCATTGTGTTGTAGTTATAGAGTGTTGGACAAGGACCTAGGAGAGACCATGGTTCAAATCCTCTCAGTCATGAAGCTCACAGGGTGACGCTTGGGGCCAGTCACTGCCTCTCAGTCTAACCCACCTCACAGGGTTGTTGTGGGGAATTAAATAAGGAAGGGGAGAGAACTCCCTGAGCTCACTGGAGGAAAAGAAAGGTGAATTACAAATGCAATAAATAAATGCAGTAAGACAGCGGTCATAGCCTATGATTGATCCAGCAGGAAGAAAAAGCTGCTAAAATCCTAGAATTGGAGGCTTGGAAGGAACTCCCAAGGGTCACGTAGTGCCCCCCCCCCTTACAATGCATGAATCAGAGCTGTTGATTCCTGGTGGATGATGTGTTTAGCTCCTTTGCAGACTGAAACCCCTCTGCCTTGACCTTAACCCTAACCACAGCTGCCTCTGAGCTTTACACAGTGGTACCTCGGGTTACATACGCTTCAGGTTACAGACTCCGCTAACCCAGAAATAGTACTTCGGGTTAAGAACTTTGCTTCAGGATGAGAACAGAAATCGTTCTCCGGTGGCACGGCAGCAGCGGGTGGCCCCATTAGCTAAAGTGGTGCTTCAGGTTAAGAACAGTTTCAGGTTAAGAACGGACCTCCGGAACGAATTAAGTACTTAACCTGAGGTACCACTGTACGCTCCATGCTCGCCTTACCCCAGAAGACCTGGAGAGAAATAAGCAGGGCAAAACTCTCCCTTGAGGTCAAACCCAGAGGCATACAAAAGTCTTGGCCAGGCCACTGCTTCCACATTCTCTGCCCCTCTGCCTCTCCCTCAAGAGGGAGGCTAGTGAGCAGAACATTCTGACAGACTAGCATGGCTTGAGGTAAAAATGTCTTCACAGGCAAAGTTGTATCTCCTGGTGGGGCAAGATTGGCCCTCAGACTGGATTTTTCCATGCCAAATGAAGAATTGTAGGAAGCACAAATGTTGAAACCTTTCAAACTCATGCTAGGCCCAACCAAGAGCTCTCTTGCTATTTCCGCTTCTCTTCAAAGGTTTTTAGGTTTTTTTTTTACAAAGGCCTCCTTGGTATTCTTGTGGAGAAGCTGGTAAACTGTAGGCTGGACAAAGTAACTGTTAGGTGGATTTGTAGCTGGCTGGCTGACGGAACCCAAAGAAGGCTCACTAATGGCTCCCCATTATCCTGGGGGGAAAGGGCAAGTGGGGTGCCACAGGATTCTGTCCTGGGCCAGTTGTTATTCAACATCTTTAGAAATAACTTCGATGAAGGTATTGAGGGGATGCTCACCCAATTTGCAGATGACACCAAACTGGAAGAGCTAGCTAATGCCACAGTAGACCTTAACAGATGGGAGAACTGGGCCCAAACCAACAAAATTAATTTCAATAGGGACAAATGTCAAGTTGTACACTTAGGCAGGAATAACCAGCTGCTCAAATATAAGATAGGGGACATCTGGTTTGCCAGTTGTATATGTGAAAAGGATCTAGGGGTTTTTGTGGACCACAAGCTTAACATGAGTCAACAGTGTGATGCAGCAGCAAAAAAAACCCCTAATGTTATTCTCGGCTGCATCAACATAAGTATAGTGTCCAGATCAAGGACCCAAAGCAATGGATTCCAGTTACAGGAAATGAGATTATGACTATAAATATCAGGAAGAACTTCCTGACAGTAAGAGCTGTTCAGCAGTAGAATAAACTCCCACGAGAGGTAGTGGACTCTCCTTCAATGGAGATTTTGAAGCAGAGGTTGGATGGCCATCTGTCATGTATGATCTAGATGCGACTCCTGCATTCCAAGGGGTTGGACTAGATGACCCCCAGGGTCCTTCCAACTCCACAATTCTATGATTCTAAGATTTTAAGAGGTGTGTCGAAAAATTTAGAGGGGGCTGATCGTACTCCTTAGTGCACTAAACTGATGGATATTGCCCTGTTGGAAAAACTAACTAATAAGCTGAGAGTCCTCAGTGACTAAAGAAAACAGATGATTTTGTACCTGTTTTGTCAGTCTTCATCTTATTTGTAAGCAAGGAGGGACGTAGCAAAAGACCCTGCTTGGCCCACAAATGAATATGGCTGAAACAGTGACTCAGGGCATTTGAATTCTTGAATTCCTTTCCCTTAGCAAGATAGCGCCCATGTTTTGTAACGGTGCCTTGCTTAACCATTATGTCTAAGCTGTAAATAGTTCCAATCGCTACATTCCACGCATTCATGTACTTGTGGTTTATTTATTTTGGTTTTATTTTATGTCTATTTTTATTCGGCAGTGCTCTATAATTGTATATGGACTATGTATATTGTCATTAGATGCTACTTGATTACATAGTGTTTGGAGAATCTCATATAACCTTAAAAAAAAAAAGGAAACAAAGAAAAAAACCTATGTTGGCCAGAGTCTGCGGCAGGGGAGAGTAGTGGCCAATCAGTTCCAGTTTGTGTGTTGGAAGAAAAGTGGGTGCCCTGTTCAGAAGCGAAAATTAACATGCACTGTTTCCGCAGGCAAAAAACATGGCCCCCCAGGACCGCCTGGCCCACATGGGCCTCCTGGCCCCCCCGGAATCCCTGGGATCCCTGGGATTCCTGGCACCGCCGTGATGGGACCTCCCGGCCCTCCAGGACCTCCTGGCCCCCAAGGCCCCCCTGGCCTGCAAGGCCCCACTGGTAAGTGCTGCTTCAGCAAAGGGCGACCATAAGAGCAAAACAGGCCTGTGTAGCCAGGGCAGGATTAACCCCATCATTCCATCCATCAGCTGATACCACAAATGGGGGGAGATGGCCTCGCAGGCAAAACGAGCTTCTGGTGGGTCGACACTGGACGTTTGGGCAAAGGGGAAATGCCAGTCATGGTGGTTCAAATGCTGAACCACCTGGCTATCCCTGGCTATAATATAATATAATATAATATAATATAATATAATATAATATAATAATGGTAAAGGGGCCCCTGACCATTAGGTCCAGTCGTGGCTGACTCTGGGGTTGCGGCGCTCATCTCGCTTTATTGGCCAAGGGAGCCGGCGTACAGCTTCCGGGTCATGTGGCCAGCATGACTAAGCTGTTTCTGGCAAACCAGAGCAGCGCACGGAAATGGCGTTTACCTTCCCGCCAGAGCGGTACCTATTTATCTACTTGCACTTTGACGTGCTTTCAAAATGCTAGGTGGGCAGGAGCAGGGACCGAGCAACGGGAGCTCACCCCGTCGTGGGGATTTGAACCGCCAACCTTCTGATTGGCAAGGTTTAACCCACAACGCCACCCGATATTAATACACATTCTGTTTTGCAGGTGCCATGGATAAAGCAGGACCTAGAGATGTACAGGTGAGATATCTATCCTGAGGGAAGAACGGCAATGAATCCTCATCTAGAAAAACTCTCTCCCTTCTTAGCATGGAAAGCTAGCCTTTATTGAACAACAACAAAAAAGCCCTTCTTAGTTAAGCACAGGAGGCAATGATGGCCACCAACCTGGATAGCTGTAAAAGAGGATCAGACAAATTAGCGGAGGAGGAGAGAGTTATTGATGGACACTAGCCATGATGGCTGTGTTCTCTCTCCACAGCTGGAGGTAGCAGTACTTCTGAATGCTAGTTGCTGAAAACCACAGGAGGGGAGGGGGCTTTTATGCTTGAATTCTGTTTGCTGATTTCCCTTTAGGGCATCTTGTCGGCCACTATGAGAACAGGATGCTGGACTAGGTGGGCTGGGAGCCTGATCCAGCTAGGCTCTTCCAATGCTCTTATGGAACTTCCAAGTCCAGAGGCAGTGTATCTCAATTCCTAGGCTTCTAAGGGTATTTGGCTGCTGCTAGAACAGCATACTAGACTAGGTAGAGCCCCACTGGTCTGAAACAGCAGCCTCTTCTGAAGGTTACAAGCACACAGACTCTTTCAGTAGCTAAAAATTGTTGAAGAGCAACTATGGTGGTACTCTTTGCCTATCTGAATCCCAGAGAACCTTTTCCTTGGTCATCCAGAACCTCTAATATAATCCTAGAATTGCCAAGATGGAAGGGACCCAAAGAGTCATCTAGTCCAATCTTCTCGAGTGCAGGAATCACAAGTAACACAGGAATCTTTGGCACAGCAGCTTTATGTGTGCCTAGCAAGAGTAATTTCAAGTGGTCCTCTTTTAATTTGCAGCCGGCTGTTGTTCACCTTCAAGGGCAGGGATCAGCGATTCAAGTCAAGAATGGTAAGAATCCTGAGGAAATGGACTTTGGAAACTGCACCCCTTCTTCCTTCTTTGGTTCCATATCTTCTAACAAGGTGGGTGTGGGGAGAAAAGGCCCATCCCACGTGGCCATAGAATGTTGGTATTGTAGAGTTGGAAGGGATCCCAGGGGTCATCTAGTTTCACCCCCTGCAAGGCAGGCCTCGCAGCTGAAAAATCCCTTAAAAACATCATGTGAATGATGGAATCATAGGGTTGGAAGGAACCACCAAGGGTCACCAGCCCAACCCACTGCAAACGTAGGTATCCCAGCTAGAGAATCTCCAGACAGGTCATTAACCACCTTCTGCTTAAAAGCCTCCAATGAATCAGAATTGTAGAGTTGGAAGGGACCCACAGGGTCATCTAGTCCAACTCTCTGCAAGTTCAGGAGTCACAGCTCAAGAAAACCTGACAGATGGCCATCCAACCTATTTAAAAACCTCCAACAAAGCATAGAATTGTGATGTTGGAAGGGGCCCAAGGATCTTCCAGTCCAACCCCCTGCAACGCATCTGAAGTATTCCTAACAGGTGGCCCCCCGACCCCGGTTAAAAACCTCTTCCTTCCAAGCCCCCATCCGCTTGCCTGCCAAGCGGCTGTTGCCTGTGTTCACGTTGCTCTGGTATTTTGTCTCTCCTCATCCCAACGGGTACTGAGTGACTGCCATTTTCTCATACTGAGATCTTTCAGGGGGAGTCCTCAACGACTGGTCCCGCCTCGCCCTGAACCCCCGTGTCTTCAAGCTGCATGCCCGTAGCGGGGAGCTGGAGGTGCTGGTGGACGGCACCTACTTCGTCTATAGTCAGGTAGAAGTGAGTACGGTCTGAGTATGGTACCTCTGAAATGCAAACCGCCTGGGTCGTCCGGGGCGGGGGCGGCTTTGGAGCAAGCAGAATGTGTCTTTATTACTTACTTTTTAAATCTATTTCTATTCTACCTTTCCTCCAGGGGTCTCAAGGTGGCATGCATATATTTCCCCATTTTATCCTCACAACAACCCTGCAAAAGTAGGTTGGGCTGAGAGTGACTGGCACCCAAGGTCATACCCAGTGAATTTAATAGGCAAGTGGGGGATGTGAACCCTTGTCTCTCCTGGGTCCTAGTGCACTTTAACCATGCAGCCAAAGGCGCTCACTCAGTGGTGACCTTGCGGGGCCAGTCTCAGCCTCACCTCCTTCTCAGGGTTGTTGTGGAGGATTTAATGAAGAATACACCGTGTACGCCACTTTGATCTCTTTGGAGAAAAAGATGGGATATAAATTGGATAGATAAAGAAATGTTAACATCCTTTTTAAAAAAAATTAAAAATAATATTTTGTTGGCTTGTTAACAAAAAAGGTGCAAACATAACAAAAAGAATTAAAACAAGAATGGAACATTTTTTTCTAAAACAAGAATGGAACATTTAAAAGCATCACAGCCTGGAAGGACAGAAGTATCCAGTGCAGTTCTGAAGGGATAGTAAAGTATCACTCATGCAAAGATCCAATTTTCAAGTAATAAAGCTTTCTAAAACATAAAAAGTATTCTCCATCTCTGAGTTCCATCACTACCAAGAATAAAGACTCTGTGTAGTCTTGGACGAGCCAGACATTTGCATAGACACCATGCAGTATGTTAGCTGTTGTTTCCTCATTACAGGGGGTGAATTAGATGACCCTGGGGAGTACAGTTCTTTTAATGGTCATTCAAGCTCTGCCCTTTAGATGCTTTTAGATTATGACATACTTTTCAAAAAGGTTTTCGGCCAATTAACCAAATCCTTTTCCTCCCAGTCTGGGACATTTTGCTTCCATGCTGCTATCCCGCTGGAAAAGGCCTTCTGTTCCTATTCCCAAAATAGGGTGGCAGAGAGAGAACACCGTGACAGAAGGAGGTGCTTTGTTTTCAGTCCAGTTGCTTGTGTACAAAGACAGGTCTCATAGCATTGTAGGGTTGGAAGGAACCCCCAGAGGACATCTAGTCCAACCCCCTGCAGTGCAGAAATCACCAATGGCAATCCAACCTTTGTTTAAAAACCTACCTTTTTGGCACAGTCCAGCACCTTCCAAGGTCATTTATTCCACACTTGAACAGCTCTTGCCCTCAGAAAGTTCTTCATAAGGTTTTGTCATTTGACTCCATTGGTTTGGGTCTTCTCCTCTGGAGCAGCAGGAAAACAGCTGGCTCCACCTTCTAGGGGACAGCACATCGGATGTTGGAAGACGGCTATCAGGCATTACCCTCCCACATCTGCTAGGTTCTGCCTGTCATGTTCTTGCATCCTTCCTAGAGTTTTAAAACAGTTGCTTCCCTTCTGCAAGCGGAAGTCAGATCAGACCCTCTTGCTTTTTCTGAAAGGGGAGAGGTAGCGATGCTTGCCGTGGCTTTTTTTATGGGTGGCTTTCTAAACGTTTTCGTGCTTTATCAAAACGGTGCAAGACTCTCAGCCATTCTTGCTCCTCTTGCCACGATGTAGGGCAATACAAAGGAAATGATCAAGAGGGTGGAGCAACTCCCTTGTGAGGAAAAGTTGCAGTGTTTGCGGCTTATTAGTTTGGAGAAACAATGAGTAAGAGGCAACCATTATAGGAGTTTATAAATGATGCCTGGCACGGAGAAAGTGCAGAGAGAAAAGCTTTTCTCCCTCTCTCGTAACACTGGAAAATCATGGACATCCAATGAATATGAATGTTGGAAGGTTTAGAACAGGTTTTTAAAAGTACCTTTTTGGCACAGTTTATAGTTAAACTGTGACATTCACACCCCACAGGAGACAATTGATGGCCACCAACTTGGCTTTAAAAGAGGATTAGGCAGATTCATGGAAGCGTGGAGGACTATTGATGCCTACAAGCCATAATTGCTGGGCTATTCTGTTGCAGTGCTTCTGAACACCAGTTGCTGGAAACCGCAGAAGGGGCAGTATTGCTCTTGTGTTCTTGTCCTGCTTCCCACAAGGAACTGTTCAGCCTCTATGAAAACAGGATGTTAGGCTAGATGAGCCATGGGCCTGATTCAGCAGGCTAATCTTACGTTCTTATGAAATACTCTAGGGCTCCTCATTTGTTTGAACAAGGAATGTGCTGGTTGAAGGTCACATGGGCATTTCAGTTGCCCTTGGAAACAGAGGTAGAATTGTAGAGTTGGAAGGCACACCAGGGGTCATGTGCCTGGCCCCCTTGCCTTCTTAAAATAATGCCCTTTCCCCCCTGTCTAGGTATATTATATCAACTTCACGGACTTTGCCAGCTACGAGGTGGTGGTGGACGAGAGGCCCTTCCTGCAGTGCACGCGGAGCCTCGAGACAGGCAAGACCAACTTCAACACCTGCTACACAGCCGGGGTTTGCCTCCTGAAAGCCCGGCAGAAAATCGCCGTGAAGATGGTCCACGCAGACATCTCCATCAACATGAGCAAGCACACCACCTTCTTTGGGGCCATACGGCTGGGAGATGCTCCAGCATCCTAGAGGGGACTTGGACAGGGAGAACGGACAAGGGATATTTATTCATTGGTGCGGCAGCAGGAAGGAAGGGCATAAAAAGGGGGTCCCCTCTGGGTTTTGCATTAGGGAAAAGGAGATCCCCTAGCATACACTAGGGAAAACTGAGGCCCGGGTGGGATCATATCACTCGGTTCTCTTTGACAAGCAAACGTTGGATCTTAAAATGAGACTCCTGGATATAGAGCCATGTGATCCATGGCCCGTCTGTGCCAATTGTCGTGGAATATTCAGGTGCCCTGTGCCCAGTAACTTGTCCCTAAGTCAGTTCACTGCCCCCTAAGTCCATTCACTGCCCCCCTGAGTTGAGTGTAAGAGGGAATGCAGACCTTTGCAGGCTAAGCAGGCAGACTTGTGTCAGCATCACCAACCCTAAGCTGGGGGAACAAACAGAGAAGCCAGTACTTCAATAGGAGGTTGCTGAACACCTTTTTCATGTTCAGATGTAGTCAGATATTGAACAGGCTGCAATTGGTAAGGATCCCAGAAAAAATTTGGTGCTCGAGGACACTGCACATGGATTTGATGCTTACCTTTTACCCAATTTGTGGGGAAATATTTTTAATTCTAACTCTGGTACTCAAAAGTTGTCACCTACTCAGAAGGACCTCCACCATCCCAGCAAGTGACATTAAGAAACACTGCTGCCTCCAGATGTGGAGGTGGAACATAACCACAGTTGTTAGTAGCTGTTGATAGCCCCCTCCTGCTCTACAAATTTGTCCAGTCCTCTTGTAAATGCCATCCAAGTTGTTGGCCATCACTGCCTCCTGCGGGAGGGAATTCCATAGATGAACGAAAAATTGTTCCTCCCCTGCAAATTCCTTGGGTTTTGACCATGCTGGTAGAGTGGTGGTTCAGCTCCCCACTGCAGCTTAGGGTGGCCAAAAGGGTCCACGGGCACAGGGGAAACGGCCAGGCAGGCATGTTCTCCACTGTATGGTCTGTATATAGAATATACATAATGTACATAGACAGGGATGTAAGTTTACATGAATTGTCGATATTTTCCATTGCAAATAAAACTTTTTCCAACCTGATTTTGGATGCTGTGTTTGGAATGGTCAGGCCTTCAGTCGGAGTGTGGGGAAATCAATAGAAACGTAGAGTTGGAAGGTATCTCATCCAGCCCACTACAATGCGGAAACCACTAGACTGTAGCAGTGGAAGCAACAGGTGACCATCCAATCTCGGTTTAAAAACCTCCAATGAAGGAGAGTTCACCTCCTTTCGATGGAGTCCGTTCCACGGTCGAGCAGCTCTTACCGCCAGAAAGTTCATCCTAAGGTTTTGTCTCCTTTGTTGTCACTTGAAGCCATTGGTTTATCTTCCATGTGACAGCCCTTTAGATGTTCGAACTCCCGGCAAGGCAAGAACCACAGTTCAATAATCTTTGACGGGTGGCCATCCATCATCTGTTGACAAACCTCCAGTGAGTCAAAGATCAGAATTGTAGGGTTGGATGTAACCCCCAAAATTCATTTAGTCTAACCCCACTGCGATGCAGGAATCCCAGCTAGAGAATCTGCCCATCACTTGTATGGAGTTAATGCTTCTATAATCCTAAAACCTTGAAACAGATGGCAGACCAGTGGGATCCATGCTGACTTGCCTTCACTGATCCCATAGAGAAATAAGAGTTGAAAGGGCCCGTCCCCAAGATTCAGTTCAACACCCTGCAATGCAGGAATGACATAAACCTGAGTCCCTTCCATGCACCACCTTGGTGTAAGACTCTTAATCTATGGTACAATACGGTAATCTGTGGTACAATTTGCAAATTTGTTGTCTGTGGCGACAAAATTTTCCTCTGCTTTCTGAGTCTCTTCAGTCCATCCTCACACCATTTTTTCCATTCCTCTTCATGAAATGAGTTTCAGGAAGCACCAGACCCTTCATGACAACTCCTACAAATAATTTTATCCTTAAATGCCTGGCGGAAGAAGCATTTTTCAAGGTAAAACTTTTCAGTTAGCTCATCAGGTTTGTAGAGCCATTGGATTCTTTAGAATCATAGAACTGTGGATTTGGAAGGGAGCCCCAAGGAACACTTAGTCTGCAATGAAGAAATTGCAACAAAAACCATCCCTACATTATTTTTATTTATTTCCTGTACTGCTTTATGATTTTAAGCAAAATAATCTCATAGTGGTTTGCAAGCTATATTCAAACATCCAATAAAATATTCCAAAATAAAACATCACAGAAAAAGATAAAATATACATTCAAAACTAAGAGGAAAATATAATCTTAGGTTAAAGGTTTCAAAATACAGTGGTACGTCAGGTTACATATGCTTCAGGTTACAGACTCCGCTAACCCAGAAATAGTACCTCGGGTTAAGAACTTTGCTGCAGGATGAGAACAGAAATCGTGCTCTGGCGGCGTGGCGGCAGCAGGAGGCCCCATTAGCTAAAGTGGTGCTTCAGGTTAAGAATGGACCTCTGGAATGAATTAAGTACTTAAGCCAATGGTTGGATAGTGTTCTTGAAGCTACAAACATGAGCCTGACCAAACTGCAGGAGGCGGTGGAAGACAGGAGTGCCTGGCGTGCTCTGGTCCATGGGGTCATGAAGAGTCGGACACGACTAAACAACAACAACAACTTAAGCCAAGGTACCACTGTAGGACATAACACACATAGGTCATGTATAGAATGCACATTTAACACAGCAAAATTAACAAAAAAAAGCAAACATTTCAAAAAAAAGCCATTCTAAAGGGGGTCAAATGTAGAATATGTATTTAGAAGCATAATTAGCAGGAGAATATTGTCTTAGACATTAGAATATATCTGCTGTTGTTGCTTCAGCTGCCATTTACGATTATTATTACATTTATTTATATCTTGCCTTTTTCCCAGACTGGGACTCAAGGGGGAATAGAGAAAATGGCACAGTTAAAATACAGAAAACTAAAAACACCTAAAAGATAATAAAAAGTAATTCAACTCAGAAGGGGTTCAGCTTCCACCACCACCACCACCACAACCTTCAGCTCTAGAAGAACATCTTTAGACTTCGGCCAGGCAGACAGATCTTCCACCAGTGGCTACCTGCGTTCTAGGATGGCACATCTGTTGACTGCATTTGTATCCCAGCATTTTCCTCCCAAGAATTGTTTGTTCTCTCCCTCCTCACTGAGAGCCAGGGTGGTGTAATGGTTAAAGAGTATTGGACTATGACCTTGAAGAGACCAGGGTTCAAATCCCCCACTCAGCCATAAAGCTCACCAGGTGACCTTTGGGATCAGTCACTGACTGCCCAATCTACTAGGCAGGGTTGTTGTGTGGATTAAATGAGAAGTAGGGCCTTGAGATGCTGGGGTTCAAGTCCTTGCTCAGCCAAGAAACTCACTGGGAGACTGGGGGGGTCTGTCAATGCATCTCAACCTAACCTTCCTCACAGCATGTAATCCAGCTTGATCTTGAAAGAAGAGGTGGGATATGCATGTGATAAATAAATCCCCACAATAGCAACAACCCTGTGAGATAAGATTATGCTGAGAGCCAGTGACTGGCCCTCAAGGACCCCAGGGAGCTTGGATCGTTTAGATGAGTGCCTGGGAGCCCATTGTATGTTCCTGAGGTCGGGAGGGGGTCGGGACTGGCCCAGACCATCCCATTGGGCCACCCACAGTTTTGTTGCCCGAGGGCTACCAGTGTGACTTCAGAGAGGAAACAATGGTCTGCTCAATCTGGGTGGGCTGGGGGATGCCAAAGGCCTAAAGATCATGAGAAGAGCCTTGCTTGATCATGCCAATGGCCCATCCGAGTCCAGCATCCTGTTCTCACAGGGACCAAATGCCCCTAAGAGACTAGGAAGCTAGACAGACTGCCCCTGGACATGGATGTTCCTTAGGAGTATAAGAAGAGCCTGCCATTGGCCTACTGAGTCCAGCATCCTGTCCTCACAGTGGCCAACTAGATGCCGAAATGGGAAACCCGCAAGCAGGCCCTGAGCGCAGGAGCACACACACACCACCCGCAGTTTCCAGAAACTGGTATTCAGAAGCATGAATACCTTCAACTGTGGAGGCAGAACACAGCCATCATGGCTAGTAGCTATCAATAACTGTCTCCTCCATGAATTTGTCCAATCCTATTTTGATGGCTCTCACTACCTCCTGTGGGAGGGATTTCCATAGATTTGCTAAGAAGTGCTTTATTTTACCTGCCTTGGATCTTCCTACCTCCCAGGGAGTATGTGTACATTTCTTTACTTGCCTCAAAACAGAATAAAACAGGGTGGTGGCATGACTTGGGCCAAGGTCTGACTGGGTGGCCACCTGGCCTCCTTCCTCTCTGCTGCTGCTACTGCTGCTACGTTGGGTCCAGTGGTGGGCAAAGATGGGATGCCAATTCCAGGAAGGACCGCCCCCTCCCTCCGCCTTGAAGTCCTTTCTAAACAGGGCTGCATTGTACTTCCCTGAGCATTGCTCCCTTTCCCCCTTCTTTACTGGAGCACCCAGGTTTTTGCTTCTCTTTGCTATGCAGGAAACACCCTCTGAGAACCTGCACTACAACTTCCTCTCTAGCTCCTATCTAGAAGCTACATAAACAGTGCTATAAATAGAGACAGCCAGCAGCCTTTCCCTGGAGTTGTGGGAGTAGAGGAAAGGTTTGGGATCCCCCACTCTCACCATGCCAACAACAGAACTGCAAACTCAGGGATGTTTGCAGAAGGCTATTGCTGATGGATAATGCATAGAGAGATGTAAGGAACCCACAAGAATAATTTTTAGTCCATTCCCCTGTAATGCAGGAGTTGCAAATAAGGAGAGGGAGGAGATTGTTCCAATGTGCATCACTTTACACTTACCTGCCTTAATTCAGATCTGCCTTTTCCCTCCTTTTCTTTAATCCCCTCTTACCAGAAACCTTCTCTACCTCACAGCTCATTACATCTCACCCAGGTATTTTATGGCGGAAATGTACCATCCTTGGCTACCTTGAAATTATGGCCCATGAATATATTTGATATTCTGTAAATGTTTTCAGAAGCATGAAGTATTTTTAATTGTTTTGCTGCTTGCAAAGATGTAAAGTTGGTTGTGTAATAAACAGCAACTGCTCACTCCAGAGGGAAAAGCAGAGGCAGAAATCCTACAGGCCATTTACAAGGGCAGGATGAATATTTAAAGATTATAAAATTGTAGAGTTGGCTTCCTTGCTTGGAGATGGAGCAGGCTCCACTTTGTTTCTTAGGGAGCCCAGACAGAGTGGCATGCAGGTCTTAGCCCTTTTCAGGAACCAGCGCACACTGGCACAGAGGAGGCCCACAGTGCACACCAAAAATGCAGTTACAGCCAGATAGACCTTGTACGCATTGCGAGGGCAAAGCTGCCCAGCCTGTTTGCCACTGATTTGAGTTGTGAAGCTTTCATCCCCATTGCGGTAATAACACAGCGTCTCACCCAAGTCCAGCACGGAAGTGCCCAGGATTTGCAGCCACTTTCGCTCGCAGCAGCTGAAGGGGTTTCCAGCCACAGACAAAGCCCGGAGACTCCTTCTTAGTTGCTTTGCTGCAGCTTCTTCTATGCTCTCCAGCTGGTTTCCTTGGATGTCCAGTTTCTCCAGCGGGGAGCAAAGCAAGCTGGGAGGGATGGCACTCAAGTCATTCCCTGACATGTCCAGGATGCTCAGGGACACCAGACAAGGGAAGTTCAGGCTGGCAGTCTTCATTCGATTCCCTCTCAAAGAGAGCTCCTGCAAAGATGCTTCCAGACCCTCCAAAGCATAACTGGGCAGGACCAGGCCCTGGTTCTCTGACAGATCCAGGGAGGCCAAGGGCGTTTGGTGGAACAGGCATCCGTGCACCAGCCTGAGGTTGTTCCCGCGTAAGCTGAGGTGCCTGAGGTGTGGAAGGCAGTGGAAGGTAGTGCAGTCCTCTGTTTTGGCATGGAGGCACTCTCCCTTGGAGGAGTTCCTTGCTTGACAGAGCTGGATGCGGTTGAGGCCAAGATCCATCACCTCCAGGTCAGGAAGCAGGTCGAGAAAACGTGGCGGCAAGTGGCTGATGGAGTTCCCTTGGAGGTCCAGCATCCGTACAGACAGTGAGGTTTGCTTTTGCCATGCCCTGTCGGCAATGGGACCTGGTGAACTGTGATTCGTGGGCAGCTCCACGGCAAAGTCACTGAGGCAATTCCTCGCCAGGCTTAGAGCCCGGAGGGAAGCCAAACCATGAAGAAGCGCAACTGGGAATGATCCCAGGCGGTTCCTGCTGAGATTCAGGTCCATCAGTTTTGCAAAGCTCTGAGAGACATTCTGAGGCGTGACGTTCTGGCTTTCATTAGTTGCTGTGGTGATGGCATTGTGGGAGAGGTTTAGGTACCGAAGCCGGTTCCTCCTGGGGAGCAGCGGGAGGGCATTCAGCTGGTTGTGGCTCAGGTCCAAGATATGGAGGTGGCAGGGGGCCTCTTCTCCTGCCCCATCAAAGGACTCCAGTGCATTGTAACTAAGGTTCAGAACCCGCAGCTGGGCTAGGCCGAAGCCTGTGATGCAGTGGAGGGAATTCATGGACAAGTCGAGGACCTCCAGGGCCCTGAGCTGGGACAAGGCCCCTTCCTCGATTTCAACAAGGGAGTTGCGCCTCAAGTGAAGTTCCCTCAGCCGGGGCACCCCCTGGAAGATGCCATTTGCCAGACAGGTCAAGTGGTTCCCCGACAGGTCTAGCCACTCCAGAACTGGGAGGTGGTGGAGGTATGAGGCCACCATCTGGTTATCTAAGCCGTTGGCTGAGACATCAAGGGCTGCCAGGCTCACCAGTGACAGGAAGGCGTTTCCATTGGAGAAATGGTCTTGGTGGAGTTGGTTCCCGGCCAGAATCAGGGAGCGAAGGTGGGCAAGGTGCCCCAGGGCTCCCCCAGACAGTGAGCGCAGGTGGTTGTATGACAGATCCAGCTGCTCCAGCTGTTCCAAAGCAGATGTGTCATAGTCTGTCAGGTTTGAGATGGCATTGTGGGAGAGGTCAATCCGCTTGATTTCATAGCTGAGTCCTTGTGGAAACGTGGTCAAGCCTCTGCCTCTGCAAGAGACAGAAATCCAGGTCTGGAGAGAGAAGGAGTAAGAAGAAGGAAGTCAGACAAACATGAGAACATAAGAATAGCCCTGCTGGATCAGGCCAGTGATCCATCTAGTCCAGCATCCTGTTTTCACAGTGGTCAAATACCTCTGGACCAGGAAGTTCCAGAAGAGCATCAGAAGAGTCTGCTGAATCAGGCCAATGGTCCAACTAGTGCACCATCCTGTAGTTACAAGAACCAATCAGATGTCCCAAAGGCAAACCAGTAAGCAGAACCCAAGCACAAGAACTCTCTCATTCATTCATTCATTCACTCATTTCCTTTCATTTTTATGCCCCTTTTCCACCCCCCAAAAAATCAAACTCAAAGTGACTTATAACAAAGCTAATAGGAAAGTGATTCAAAATCAAACAGTGCAAAGAGCATTTTCATAATAACATAGCAAAACCACACAATAACAAATATAAGGTAAAGGTACCCCTGCCCGTTCGGGCCAGTCTTGCCAGACTCTAGGGTTGTGCGCCCATCTCACTCAAGAGGCCGGGAGCCAGCGCTGTCTGGAGACACTTCCGGGTCACGTGGCCAGCGTGACAAGCTGCATCTGGCGAGCCAGCGCAGCACACGGAACGCCGTTTACCTTCCCGCTGGTAAGCGGTCCCTATTTATCTACTTGCACCCGGAGGTGCTTTCAAACTGCTAGGTTGGCAGGCGCTGGGACCGAACGACAGGAGCGCACCCCGCCGCGGGGATTCGAACCGCTGATCATGCGATCGGCAAGTCCTAGGCGCTGAGGTTTTACCCACAGCGCCACCCGCGTCCCGTATAACAAATATAATAACACATAAAAAGCAACATTTCAGTCTTCTCCCTTCCTCTGGTTTCCAGCAACTGATGTTCAGAAGCACTGATGCCTCTGATTGTAGAAGCAGAGCATAGCCATCAGGGCTAGTAACCAATGTTATTAGAATTCTAAGGCATCGAATATAGAATAAATGTTCATAAATGCACAAGGTAAACACACATACATAAGTATATAAACCACATGTCTGAAATAGTACAGGAGAGCAATCCTTGAAGCCATTTGGACTCTCCCAAAGGGACCTCAAATATTTCTCTGTAGTAGGAGGATGGGGAAAACCTTCCAATTCTCTTTTCACTTGCAATCCATAACAACTGTCTGGAATCTAGGGGGCTTACCCCCCTTCCTGCAAATCCAGTCTGGCAAGTTTCTGTTAAGCTGAGCAAACTGTCAATAGGTGTAAACTAGTAAATAAGAGATTTAGGAACTAATCTATTTACCATTTCAAAGGAATGGCCCTGCTACTAGGACAATGTACCGGTAATTCCCACTGCAGATAAATATTTGAGGTCCCTTTGGGAGAGTCAAAATGGTTTCTTTTAAACAAATTCATAGTTTTAATACAAAAGAACATAAAAACGCAAACTCTGTGACCCTTAATACAATTTATAAATTTATTAAATACAATGGGGTTTCTAAATTGTATTCCATATTGCTTAATTTAACTTACGGATCTATGGAACCCCATAAAAACATACGGGAGCTGGATATCGGCACAAAAATTATTCCCTGAGGATTGGAATAAAATTTGGAAACTGCCAAAAATCTGTTTCCAGCTTTCTTAGGGAAAGCTCAATGAAATTGATTCACGATGGCATCATACCCCCTTTGTAAATGTAAAAAATAATATTTTTTTGTTTTTGTTTTTTGTTTTAAATTATTTTTTATTGAGATTCATTATTTATACAGTTAATCCATACATTTTTCAAAATATATTTTCTTCCATATCAGGTAATTGTCTTTTTCCCCCATATAATTTTTATTAAATTTTCAATATACATTCCACCAAAATTTAACATCCGCTTCTATCATCTATATCTTTTAGACTTCCCTCAGCATGTCTGACAATTTTCCGTATTATCACTTTTACTCACATTTCTCAATTTTATATTGCACTCTAACAATCTTAATCTTATCATATTTTTTAAAGCAATATTTCTACCAATTATTTTCACAGAGCTTCTTGAAAGCCAACAAACGTTAATTGCTCCTCGCATACATTTTTGATATACTCTGTAAATTTATTCCAGTCCTCGGTGAATCTCTGGTCTCGTCGGTTCTGAATTCTCCCTGTTAATTTGTCCATTTCTGTGTATTCCATCAATTTCATTCTCCATTCTTCCCTCGTAGGCATATACTACGGCCAAACTACCCTGAACACGCCCGATCTCGTCATATCAGGTAACGGGTTGCAATAAACTCAGTACATATTGATGGCAAAATCTAATTTGGTACAATATTTTTGGGATTTAATTTTGACAGAGGTGAAAGCTCACCCTTGAGAGGGCTGTGTGTCCAATAGGTTAGAGCAAGCCTAGGGAACCCGTGACTACAAACCCCATCAGTCTTGACCATTGGCCATTCTGGCTGGAGTCCAAGGACATCTGGAGGGCCATAGATGTCCCCAGCCCTCTTGACAGATTCTAATATATACAGACCTAACCTCTGTATAAAAAAACTCCAGTGAGCGGTTGGACTGGATGATTGTCCCCTTCCAACTCCACAATTCTGTGATTCTAGGTGCCTTACCTTCCAGCAGGGCAGAAGTTTGGGGGTCTCCATTTGGCGAGGCCATGCTCTCAGAAAAGCAGGCAGCAGCACCCAAAACAGGAGGTGTACCTGGAGGAAGCCCATTGCAGCCTCTAAAAGCCACCCTGCAGTGCCTCTTCCACTGTCCCAAAGGAAGGAGGTTTGGTGTATAAATAGACCTGGGTGTCTGCAGGGAGATGATAAGGGTTGTGCATTTCTCAGGACCACAGAAGCCACAGACTAGGCACTGGGAGGCTTAATGGGGAGTGGGGGAAGAGTCCAGAAGGGAAAGCAAAACCAAGGAGGAACCTCAGAGAACCTGGGAGAGCCTCTTAGCCCCAAAGGGAAATCGGCTATTTGAGGGAAGGGAGCCCAAGGGATTTCTCAGGTAATCCCCCAGCTGGAAAACCCACTGGCTTCCAGGGGGGATTTTGCATCACTGGTAGAGCACCTAGAAGCACACAGAGGAATGGGAGTTCCTACGGATCCCAAAATCCAGCTTTTCTTTACATGTTGAGGCTCAGATGATTCCCTCAGGGCTGAATGTCCATCTGTGAAAACCATAGGATTTTAGGGTTAGAAGAAAGCTCTGAGGGCACAACCCCCTGCAATGCTGGATCCACAGCTAAACTAACCCTGACCCACCAACCTCTGTTGAAAAACCTCCAATCAGAATTGTAGGGTTGGGATGTTACCCATGTCACCTTACGCTATATACTTCATCCTTCCTTTAACTTAATGGACCAGATCCTGACTGTTTTCGGGCCGGGGAGCAGAACCAGAGCCCATTTTGATGCATTTCAATGGCTATTTGTTTTAAAAGGTCCCTGGACTGTGTAAATATCCAGTGTAGTCTTACAACTTTCCAATCGTTGCATACTGAAGGCACAGTGAAAGAACCAGAGAAGGTGATAAACGTCCTATGCGATTGTCTAGAGTGGTGGTGGTGGCAGTCAACAGACTGAATCCTGACAATACAGAAGTACTTTGTCTGGGGACAGGGGGCAGGTGGGGGGCAGATTCCTTGGTTCTGAATGGGGTAACTGTGCCCCTGAAGGACCAGGTGTGATACCTGGGGGTCATTTTGGACTCACAGCTGTCCATGGAGGCGCAGGCCAATTCTGTGTCCAGGGCAGCTATTTACCAGCTCCATCTGGTTCGCAGGCTGAGACCCTACCTGCCCACAGACTGTCTCACCAGAGTGGTGCATGCTCTGGTTATCTCCCACTTGGACTACTGCAATGTGCTCTATGTGGGGCTACCTTTGAAGGTGACCCAGAATCCAGAATGCAACTAATCCAGAATGCAGCTGCCAGACTGGGAGTGGCTGCTGGGACCATATAACACCAGTCCTAAAGGATCTTCACTGGCTCTCAGTACATTTCCGAGCACAATTCAAAGTATTGGTGCTGACCTTTAAAGCCTTAAACGGCCTCGGCCCAGTACCTGAAGCAGCGTCTCCACCCCCATTGCTCAGCCCAGACACTGAGATCCTCCTCCGAGGGTCTTCTGCTGGTTCCCTCACTGCGAGAAGTGAAGTTACAGGGAACCAGGCAGAGGGCCTTCTCGGTAGTCGCAATCCATACACACTGCCCAGGCTTGCTCCCTGGAGAGCAGTTTGTCTTCACCCCTCGAGGTGCACTCCATTGTCTCTCCAGACAGATGGACACCAACAACCTTAGGCTCCTTGGAAAAAAAAGGATGGAGTATAAATGCAAATACATAATCTCTACATTTCTAGGATCTTCAGTTTCCAAGAGGGCGCCCCCACCCCGTTTCACTCCCCTTCCAGGTCACTTCAATCCACACCCCGCCTGGGCTGCGTTCCAATCCGTCGTACACTTTTCTCGGGAGCGCCACGCTCGCGGGAGGAAGCGGAGACGCACCCCCTCTAGTGGGCCAAGGAGGAACTGCAGTAGCGTCGCCGAAGTGGCCCGACGGCAAAAGTTGCCTACGGCAAGGCTGGCGACCCTCCCAGTCGCCACCTGGGCCTGGTGACCGCCCATTGCGTCGGGAGCAGCCCTTTTAAGAGGCCTCTGCGCCCTTCCCCGGCCTTTCTTTCCGCCAGCCATGCGCTGCTCCTGGATGGGGCTTGCCCTGCTGCTTCCCAGCCTTGGCCTCTGCGCCGCCATCCAGTGGTTGTGAGTCCCGTTGGGGTGGGTAGGTGGGTTGGGGGTGAGGGGTGTCCTGGCAGGGGTGCGTCTTCTCTGTCCCCAAGCCCAGCGGGGGACGAAGGAATGCCGGCTCTGCAGGGTTCAGGGAAGCCCCGACGACGACGCCAGCTCCCGGGGATTTCCCTCCACACCAGCCCGCCTTGCAAACACAGCCCAGGACCCAATGGGTCATCCAGTCCAAACCCTCTACCCGCCCCCCCCCCGCCCATCGCATGCCCGCAATGCGAGAATCACAGCTGAAATCGCCCTGGCAGATGGCCGTCCAACCTCTGCTTCAAAACCTCCAAGGAAGGGGAGAGGCCGCCGCACTCCGAGGCCATAGAAGCGCAGAATTGCAGAGATGGAAGGGAGTAGCCCAATCCAGCACAAGGCAGCAACCAGAGCTAAAGATCCCCTAGCAGATGGCACAGCCCCTCCAATGCCAGCCGGCCTCGCAGGATCAACACAAAGCCTCTCTGATGCCTCCTTTATGCCCCCACCTAGTTTCTGAAGGCGGCAGCGCCATCTGCAGGGAGCTTCCTACCCCCAGGGACTGGGGAGGTTCCTTGATGCCACCCACAGATGGGTAGAGTGACCACTTGTGGGTCCTTTGCGGGCAGCGGAAACCAGGTGTCTTCTGCAGGTGTCACGACAGCTCTCATTCTTCTTCTCTCCCACCCCCGCTTCAGGAGCCTGGCGGCCAATGGGACGCAAGTGGCCTGGGATAACCCCCAGGACTGCCGCCTTCTAGCATCGGATGCCCTTGCCCGGCTATGCCGGAGGCACCTGGAGGCGATGCCCAGCCTGGTGGAAGCAGCACGCCAGACCAAGGCTGTCTGCCAACAGACCTTTGCCAACTCCCGGTGGAACTGCTCGTCCGTCGAGGGGACGCCTCACTTGGCCCCAGACCTACAGAGGGGTAATGATCAAGCTTTGTTCCATCTTCATCCCTTTGTCCCTTTCTCTGAGGAAAGCCCCTCTGGCTGGATCCAGCCTCCTTTGCCGAGGTGGGAATGTGGGCCACTCTATAGACAGTTCCCCCTCCCCAGTTAGAATCATAGAATTGGTTGGAAGGGACCCCAGGGGTCATCTAATTCAACCCCCTTCAAGGTTCCATAAGAGCCCTACTGGATCAGGTCAAGGGCCACCTAGTCCCACATTCTGTTCTCATACTGACTGACCTGATGCCCATTATAGGAAGCCTACAACCAGGATCTGAGCGCAAGCGAAACTCTTCCCCTCCAGAAACAGGGGTTCAGAAACAGGTGTCAGAACATAGCCATTGTGACTAGCTGCCTTGATAGCCCTCTTCTCCCTGAATTTGAACAATCCTCTTTTAGAACCATCCAGTTTAGTGGTCATTACTGCTTCCTGCTGCGAGTGGCGCTGTGGGTTAAACCACAGAGTATAGGACTTGCCGATCAGAAGGTCGGCAGTTCGAATCCCCGTAACGGGGTGAGCTCCCGTTGCTCGGTCCCTGCTCCTGCCAACCAAGCAGTTTGAAAGCACGTCAAAGTGCAAGTAGATAAATAGGTACTGCTCTGGCAGGAAGGTAAACCGTGCGCTGCTTTGGTTTGCCAGAAGCGGCTTAGTCATGCTGGCCACATAACCCGGAAGCTGTACACCGGCTCCCTTGGCCAATAAAGCGAGATGAGCGCCGCAACCCCAGAGTCGGTCACAACTGGACCCATAGGCGCCGACTCCATGGGGCTTGAGGGGGCCCGAGCCCCCTCAAAAATTCGTTTGGGGGGGCTCCGCCCCCCCAATAATCTCCGGCGCCCCTCCAGCAGAGCGCCATCGCCGCCCCTCCCCCAGCCCAAAATGCACAGGGAGGGGCGGGCTGCATGCCTCCTGCCCTCCCTCCCGAGCAAAAGCTCCACCCAATTTCCTTTGGAGCTGATTAATAGGCGCAGCACGCTCTCCCCTATTCGCTCACGAGGAGGCGGCGCCACTTTATTTGCATATTCATGAGCTTATTTATTATTCATGAGCTTTCCCGGCCCCCCCCCCAATATTTTTTATAAGTCCGCGTCCCTGACTGGACCTAATGGTCAGGGGTCCCCTTTACCTTTACTTTACTGCTTCCTGCAGGAGTGAGTTCCATAGTTTTAAATAATATGTCCTTCCTTTTATCTGTCCTCAATCATCCACCACTTCAGCTTCACTGGAGGTCCACAAGTTTGAGAGAGGGAGGAAAACATTCCTCCATGTCATGCCTAATTTTCAAAACTTCTACTACATCTCCTCTTTGGTAGCCTTTGCTGCCTCCTAGCAATTTAATTAAGATAATAAATAATACTTGCCTCTTTCCACTTTCTCCATGCTGTGCATCACTTTATAAAACAAATTTCATTGATTCTTTTTCTTGCAGGCACCAGGGAGTCCGCCTTTGTATACGCCCTGGCATCTTCCGCCGCCAGCCACTCCATTGCCCGGGCCTGCGCTTCTGGGCAGGTCCCTTTCTGCTTCTGTGGCTCCTCTCCCTCTGAGGCACCCCACCCCAGCTTTCAGTGGGGTGGCTGTGGGGACAATCTCCCCTTTGGACTCCAGCTGGGCTCTGCCTTTGTTGACGGCCCCATGAAGTTCAGCAAGGCGGGGAGGCAGATCTCCAGGGTCCTAAACCTCCATAACAATGCAGTGGGCCGGCAGGTGAGTAGGGTCATTCCTGCACTGCAGGGGGTTGGGCTAGATGCCCCCCGGGTCCCTGATTTTATTATCTGGTACTGGAGAATTCAGGTGAGAGAATTGTGGGTGCAGGAGGTTCAATTCTCCCCACTCGGGTGCCTGACAGTCCTTCTCTTATCTTTCCGCCTCCTCCTCTCCCAGGTCCTGTCAGACTCCTTGGAGACTATGTGCAAGTGCCATGGGGTGTCTGGATCTTGCACTGTCAAGACCTGCTGGAAAGGCTTGCGGGATTTAGCCACTATTGGCTCAGAGCTCAAATCCAAGTACCTGGAGGCCACGCAGGTGATGCCTTGGCTTGTGGGCAGCAGAAGGCAGCTGGCACCCAGAGGAGGCAGACTTCGGCCCCTGAAGGCAGATGAACTGGCCTACCTTGTACATTCCCCCACTTATTGTCTGAAGAACCCCAAGCTGGGCTCCTTGGGGACTCAGGATAGGTGAGTAAATCCTTGCATGATACATACAGGAGCCTTGATTCCCGAACCCAGAACCTCTGTCATCCCACTGCCAGTGCAGGGGATTGGATTAGTTGGAGATGATGATGATAATGATGATGATGATGATGATGATAATAATAATAATAATAATAATAATAATAATAATAATAATAATAATGATAATGATGGATTAGTTGGAAATCCCTTTCAACTCTATGATTCTTTGATTTTGCTTTGTTTTTGTTGGGCTATTGGCCAAATATGACAGGGCTTTTCTCATGTTTTTATGAAACCAACGGGCCTAGAGGCAGTCTGCCTAGATTCCTAGACTCTTAGGGGTGTTTGGCTACTGTGAAAAGAGAATGTTGGACGGGATTAGTCCCCTTTGGCCTGATCCGGCAGCCAGGCTCTCTTCTCAGAATCTTATGTTCTCTCACCCCCCAACAGGCCTTGCAACAAGACTTCAGCGGGCAGTGGCGGGTGCCGCCTCCTCTGCTGCGGCCGCGGCTACAACACTTATGCAGAGAGGGTGGAGGAGAAGTGCCGCTGCAGGTACCATTGGTGCTGCTATGTGACCTGCAAGAAGTGCCAGCGGGTGGTTGAAAAACACGTCTGCAAGTGACCAGAGGCTGGGCCCCCGAGTTAAGCTATACCTCTTTCCAACGAGAGGGTTCATATACAGAGAGATAAACAGATATATTTATATATATAATTTTATATATAATTATATATATTTAAAAAATAGTAATTTAATTTTAATTTTTTTCCAAATTTCTTTTAGATTTAAAATCAGTTAACTTTTTATAAACTACAGTATTTCATTTACTTTTTTCAGCAATAGCATCTAATGTTATTTCTTTTCATAATGTTTTTTTATTCATTTTCATTTTTCAACTGTTTAACATGGTGGCATTGAGATATATCTTAATACAGCATATGACATGTGGCAATTACATAAAAATAAAAGTAGAACTACAACCAACACTCAGATAAATGTTTCTGATTATATTATCAAAGTTGTGTCAAAGTATATATACCAAAATTATTACAGTTGTTACAGAAATAATATCTGATTTTCAGAATTTTGTGGCTCATCACTCTTTTAAGTAATCAGCATTTATCAAACAATGAGATTCTGCTAAGGTTCAAAACAATTGACTTTAGGTCAAGCTTGTGACCCCCAATATAACAGCTTTGATGCTCCAAAAATATTTTCACTATGTGTTCATCTTGTCTTGTGAGCTCACAATATTAACAATACTAGCTTGACCAATCTTCTGTCTTTTTAAGCCTGTTTTAAAATCTTTATTTGCTCTTCTGGAGTAATGCAGGAGAACTCCAGATGAACAAATATCTAGCCATTTATTACCATTTTTAACAACCCAAAAGTGCAGTAGCAAGCAAAGCAAACAATAAATAAATAATTTATCTTTTTTTAAAAATGGCCTTTATTACCACTGTTAACAGCCCTCTTTGCATTGCAGAGGGTTAGACTAGATGGCCCTTGGAGTCCTTTCTCACCCTACAATGCGATGATTTTTCAGAGGCTTTTCAACAGAGGTCAGCTGTCAGGGATTCCTTTTGCTGCAATTCCTGCATTTCAGGGGGAAGGTTGGACTAGGTGACCATTGGGGTCCCTTCCAATTCTGCAATTTTCTGAATCTGGGCAGTCAAGAGATGGTTCTTGGTCAGATCCGACTCATTTATCATCTGCAAGCTTCTTACAAACAATTAGCCGAAGCAGACTGGGTTTGCCAAGGCTAAAATCTCACCAGACTGACCTTCTCTCCTGTCAATCAGGTTACTGGGTTAGGAGATTTCGCTGGTGTGATTTGTCAAATGTATCTTTCAATCAGAAAACTGATTAAAGAAAATGGCTTAGAGTTTTTCCACATCTTTCAGAATTCCAGAACTGTAGAGTTGGAAGGGACCTCCAAGGGTCATCAAATCCAACTCCCTTTGATCAGTGGTGTAAGATGAACGTGCAAAGGGGATCCTCATCAACTGGCAGAGGGCACAGCTGGCACCTGGGAACAATGCATCATTTTCAAGAAAAAATACATTTTAACTTCTGCTGTTTTCTCCAAGTTTGATAGTTAAGTTTTGGCCAGTTTTAATATCTTTTTCTTAAAAAACAAAACAAAAAACTTTTCAAGGGATATAAAATTGGCTTGATTTGTTTTAGATTTGGAGGTATATTAATGCCTAATACCATGTGGGCAGTGATTTGGGAAACCGTTAAAAGGATATGCAATGAAATTCAACCAAGGGGAAGCGGGGAAGTCACTTAACAAAGTTAATAAGTGTCATTTTTAATAAGGCTATGATTTATGTTTGTTTGTCTTATGTGTTTGTTTGTTTATAATATTGTGAAAACCAATAATATTTTTTTGAAAATAAATAAATAAATACCATGTGGTCAAATTGACCTCAAATTCCCACTTGGCCATGGAGCCTACTGGGTGACCTTCGGCCAATTGCTGCCTCTCAATATGTCCTACACCACAGGGTTGCTGTGAGGGTTAATTGAGATTATGGTGGGGATGCAGATGCAGCCAAGAACACCAGCAACTTAATATTTTCATTTCTATCTTTCTAGACTCCTAAAGTCCAATAAAATATAAAAATAATAACAAATGATTAATACCAATAACAGCAGCAACAATGAATAATAAAAATGAACAGCAGCATTGTGAACAAGCACAGTGATTAATACCGTAATAATGTCCATCATTATTGTTATAGAAAAATTAATGAGATATCACTTTTAACAGTAAAACCTGAGCTGTAAAAGAACGGAGGGCAATACAGGAGCCATGCTTAACCCCAAGCCAACCTCAAGACTCCTCCAGTCACATAGCAGGAAATTCTTCCTGAGCCTCCCCTCTGTGAAACTGGTTTAACAAGTATTGATAACTGTCCAAGCAGACTTGTCAAAGGAGCAGATATCTATCTGCATGAATGAAACAGGTCATTGATAACATATTCTGGAGTCAAGGTATTCCCCATTTCAAAAGGATCTATCAGACAGACGAGGAAGGGCAATTACCAGGTATTGTTGGGCAGCTTGATTGGCAGACTTGCAAATGTGTTGGAGAAACATGAACTCTGAGCATGATCGGATTGACATGGACAACCCGTTTTGCGATGCATCTGTGGCGTTTTTGGAGTGGTCTTTCTGTGACAGAGGAAGGTACCACCCAAGGGTTAAAAAATTGTAACATGCTTTTGTTCTGGATCCCCTCACCTTCTTGCAAGGGCTGTCGGATTTGGGGGGGGGGAATGTCTCTGTTGCAACAGGTCGGTAAAGATCAACCGCTGGCCTTCCTTTATTTAGTTGTCTCATTGTGTTATCATTTCCTTGATGGGGGCAGGGCAGTAAAAGCGTAACCCCAATTTCCCCCATAACATCGTCATCAATAATAATAAGTAATGCAATGATGATGAACCGGGAGCGGAACAAGTGCCAGGACCCCGCCCCCCAGTCCCCCATTTCTCTGGAACCCTCCTATCAGCTGACACAACAGCCCTGCAGGGTAGTCCCTACCCTCTCCCACCCCGCCATTGGCTCCTCCGCTTGCTGAGGGGAAGGCGGGGCCCGCAAAGCGAGGAGGCGGCGCCGCTCCGGGGGGCGGGGAAATAGCCCCAAACCAAGATGGCGCCGGCTGTCACTTCTGCTGCCCTCTTTCAGCATGGCGCCGCCGTCTTCAGCGGTACGATGTCGCCGCTTCCGCCCGAACCCTCTCTTCCTCCTTCCGCCGGTGGAACCCGTGGGCGTCACGGCGCCCACTCTGCAGGCCCTCGTTAAAGATGGCGGCACCTCCTTCAGCCGCAAGACGGTACCACTTCCGTCCTCTCCTTTCCCTCCACATCCGCCTCTCCCATGATGGCGGCGAGCACAACGACGGAGGAGCCGCTTCGGCTGTCGGAGCTGCTGGAGTCCGGCTGGCGTCTGCTGGAGGAGGTGGAGGATGGCAGCGCCGCGGAACCTTCGTCGGGAGCGCCCGCTGTGCAGCGGAAGGTGCAGCGCGGGATCGGCCTCCTGGAACGCGCCTCCAGCGCCGTCGCCGAGCTCCAGCTCTTCAGGTGCCGTAGAGCATGTGCAGAGGGCGCCACATGTACACCCCATGGGGGGGGGACCGTCCATGGCTCACAGTCTACCTCGGGATGGCAGCGCCTGCCTGATGACCTTTAGAAACCGGCAGTGCTTCAGTCCAATCTTCAGCTTGTGGCTCCAGAGGGATTCTCCATCTGCCCAGAGGCACCTTCAGCTCCTCGCCGCCACAAGCTTTTGCTTGGGCTGGATCTCACCCATTCACAATAGAAGAGGGAGGTGCCCACCCCCACCATGCATTCCCTTCTCAGATCCTGACACTTCACAGGCAGTTTTCCCCACTTAGTTGAATTTGAAATTCCCACTGGACCAAATTCCCAATTTATGGAATAAAAGCAGTTTGATTTGGTTCTTCTATTGCTTTTCCCTGTTTTTAAGACCTTCACATAGCTCAGCAAATAGGGCATGAGACTCTTAGCGTTGGGCAAAAGATTCCTGCGTTGCCCTGGGTTGGACAAGTTGACCCTCATGGTCCCTTCCAGCTCTATAGTTTTATAATTCTAAGAGCCTGGCTGCTGGATCAGGCCAATCGCCCATATAGTTCTGCATCTTATTCTCACAGTGGCCCACAGGGGCAAAACTAGGGTTTATTTTGCCCAGGTCAAAGACCCAGTCTGGCACCCCCACGCATTTGTGTACACACACACAGAGGCTGGGAGCCTCAATGGCGCCCCTGTGTAGGCTTCACCGATGGCTACCTAAGCCATTGTGACTAGTAGCCATTCATAGCCCTCTCCTCTTCCATGAACCTGTCCTCTTGTAAAGCCATCTGTGTTCCCCTGTGGTAGGGAACTCCACAAATTAGCTGTGTGCTGTCTGAAGAAGGACTTTGAAAAAATTGTCCGTGCATTCTAGTGTTATGAGAGAGGGATGGAAACTGGTGGTGGACTCCCCTCCATTGGAGGTTTTTTCTGCAGAGCTTGGCCAGATTCTCTATCTCTAATTCCAGCATTGCAGCGGGGCTGGACTAGATGACCCTTGGGGCATCTCTTCCAACTCTATGATTTTTACTCTGCTCTCTCCTTTCAGCCACAACGAAGAGCTGGAGGAGATCTCCTCAGCCGATCTGAAGTTCATGCTGGTCCCTGCTCTGTTGGCGGCCCTCGTCTTGAAGCAGGTCAACCCCAGCAAGCGCCTGGAGCATGTACAGAGGGCCCGTGCTGGCTTCATGGACTTCCTGAAGGTCTGCAAAGACTATGGGATTGGGCGCTTCCAACTCCCACGGGAGGTGGAGGTGGAGGTGGAGAGTGGGGATGAAAGTGAGTCCTCCGGTAGCAACATCAACTCCGTTCTGGGGGATCAGCAGACGGCTATCCTTGCCATGGCATCCAACAGGCAGGCGAAGATCGAAAGGTGAGTAGGGAGGCCTTCCTGGATTATGGGTGACAAATGTCAGTTTCAAGTCAATTTGATTTTAAATGTTTTCAGTTACTGTGATACCTTTTTGGTAATATTTAAATTCTGGTATGTTTCAGAATAAACAATTAAATTAAGCCAGAAATAAAACAATAATTTCATTGGAAAAACCATAATTATAAAATAATGCAGTGGGTTGAATACCTAAACTTAAGACAGCAGTTTAGAAAACAGGCTCAAAGCAGCTGTTTTGTAAAACAGGGAAAGCAAAGTGCTCAAATTTAAAATAGACAGGAACATAAATGTTTTTCAAAGCCTTATCCCTTGAATCCTGGAAGACACCTCAAGGATCATCTGGTCCGGCCCCCAGCAAAGCAGAAATCCCTGACAAATGCCTATCCAACCTATCTTTAGAGTTAGAAGGGACCCCTGAGAGTCATCTAGGCCAACCCCTCTATGTTCTTTCCCCAAACAGATATAAGCAGAAGAAGGAGCTCGAGAACCAGTTGGCCACCCTGAAGCCTTTCATAGACGGTGGCCAGGCAGAGGAGGAGCAGATCCGGGAGTTCTACTTGCTCCAGATCAAGAAGTGGATTAGCACAAGCTTGGAGGAAATTGAGAGCATTGATCAGGAAG